GGGTGTTTTTAGTGACAAACACTATAGGACATAGCCATAAATGTAGAGCAATTGACCAATTTTTTTTGTTGTAAATAAATGTGGAATTTACTGCTGTTCATCAGATTTATCATTTCACTTGCAAATAAATAAATAAATAAAGTGTTGACAGGTAGGCAGGTAAATTCCAGCGGAGGGAGAAAAGCTGCTGTGCAGTAGATCAAGAAGACTTTGAGACTCAGAGACCTCAATGGTGGACATCATTGAGGAATCTAAGTAGATAGATAAATGAATGGTCGAAAAGGGATCCTGGCCGCTCCGATCAGCACCACTGACCGGGCTGTTAAAAGTCTGGTCAGCAGCACAGCGGGGCTAAGGCAGGCTCCCTGCCTGCCCCGGCTCCACACAGGTCCTGGAAGCGGCTGGCATGTCCCTGCGGCCCCTAGGCACAGGGGTGATCAGGGAAGCACCACAAGTTGCCCCAGTGCCAGCTCCGCAGCTCCCGTTGACCAGAAACTGTGGCTAACGGGAACTGCGGGGGCGGTGCCTGCGGGCATGGGCAGCGTGCACAGTGCAGAGCCGCCTGGCCGTGCCTCTGCCTAGGGGCCGGACATGTTGGCCTCTTCCGGGAGCAGCGCAGAGCCAGGCCATGCAGGAAGCCTGCTTTAGCCCCACTGCACCACTGACGGGGAGCTGCGTGAGGTAACTGCTGCCTGGCCGGAGCCCACACCCTAAACCCCCTCCTGCACCTCAACCCCCCCTCCCACATCCAAACTCCTGGAGCCCACACCCCAAACCTCTTCCCGCACCCCAACCCTGAGCCTGCTCTCCAAACCCCTTGGCCCCAGCCCAGAGCCCCCTCCTGTACCCCAAACCCCGCACTCCCACCCAGTGAGGGTGGGAGAGAGCGAGTGAGGGAGGGGGGCTGGAGTGAGTGGGGGTGTGGCATCAGAGAAGGGGCGGGGCAGAGGTGGGGCCTCAGGGCAGGGTGGGACGGTGCAAGGGTGTTTGGTTTTGTGCAATTAGTTGGCAACCCTAACTTAGGCCCATGTTTTTAGCCTCCTCATGTTCACTCAACTATAATGGAAATCCAGGCTGGCAACAGATACCTTGCATGTTAATGCAATGTAATATAATTTAAAAAATCAATATAGAAATTACCGTCATTACATTTTGAGTGTTATGTGTAATGAAATAGTGTAATGGATCTGCTACAGAATATCTCTATTCTCAGTAATAATTTTTTTTTTTCAGATGCATCAGGAAATTTATGTATAAATTTCAAAGTTGTGGTTGTTAAACCATGACTAAATACAAATGCTGATATGATCCATACTGTTCTGAGAGAGAAAGAACATAAGCTATTCACAGTCATACGATATAAAATGTTACCGTATGCCTGCAATGCATTCCCCTGCCTCACAGCATTAACAATGATTTATGGCCCAGAAAAATAGCTGGGGAAACTTCCCTGGTAGCTCATATCATTATCTGGTTTAGATATAAAACAGTGTAATAACCCATTCCAGTTCCCATTGAGATCAGTAGAAAGACTCCAGTGGGCATTGGATCGGACACTTTATGACGTATTTGGTGGGAAGTTACTATAGCAGCTGCAGGGGTAAAGTGAGAAAATAGAATTTAGGCATATAGAGGTGTTCCTTAGTTCAAGGTGATAGGCTGTAGGCTAGAATCAGGTCCTCGGAGGGACTATAGGGTTTGCAAGATAATGAAGGACTTTGCAAAGAGTGATTTTCTGTTATTTCACTGGAGGCCAAGTAAGGGACCTGATCCTGTTCCTATTGAAGTTAATGGTTAAAAACTCCCATTGACTTCGGGGGAAGCAGGAATTGCGCCTGATATTTTGTGTTATAGGAGAGTAAATTAAAATGTCTCAGCTACTAAATCTGACTTGGGGAAATGCTGCTATAATGCACCTGCCCACCTTTAAAAAGAATAGTGCAACATTTTGGGGGTTTTCTTTAGTCACACAATGTCAATATTAGAGCTGGGGGGGGGCAGGAGTTCCATTTCATGAAGGATTTTGCAATTTTGAAATTTAGCTTCATTCCAAATCCAAATGAAAACCAAAAATTCATCAATTCTTTGTGAAGGAAAAAATTTTTAAAAATCATTTTTCGTCGAGCACGATGTTTTGTTTTGATTTTGACTTCTTAAAATGTTGCATTTATTATATGATAGTATATATTATAGTACAAAATTTCAAAATGAAAACTCATTCAAAAGAAATAAATCAAAACATTTCAATCTGAAAATATCAAAACTGGGCCTTTCAGTATTGTCCGAACTTTTTCCCCTGGTTTTCTTCCAAAAGGAAACTCCAGTAAAATAGACTTGATTTTTGCAAAGCATTTTAATTTGAATAAAATATAGTTTGGTCAACATTTCTCTGACCAGCTCTCATCAATATGAATAAGGGTGCAGATGTGCAGCAGACATCATGGAGGACACAGCATTTGGCTGCTGAAAGCAGATGTACTTCACTCTGCAGCCTGTTCTTGATGTCCTAAACTTCCACTGACTCTAGGGATAGTCGCTTATGATCAGCAGTACTCAGCCCTGCCTTAGTTTGGCCTGTAGTTAATCAAACAGCTGGGTTTTTTTTATAAGCAAACATATGCATTATAATGAGAAGGGGGGGGGGCAGGACCATGAGCTCCATTTTGTAGCATGAACTATCCTCCCCTATAAACATCAGAAGTTGAATTGGGCTTTTCAGAAAAACCTTTCAAACAACTGATGTTTTATGATTACTCTGCCAAGAGGTTTGACCAAGTTGTTGTTGTGCTTAAAGGCCCTAAAGGATTTCGGCCCCATTGTACTATAATGAAAAATAATAAGTCATTCCCTGTCCCATATGAAAAGACAACAACAGGTGGATGGACATGGGCATATCCTTTATAAGACCTAAAGTACATACATAAAGAATACTAGCGTTAATATTTCAGACTGTACAAGCTACTTCTCCTATATGCTCCAGTAGCGCAACCTACTGATTTTCATGCTCTGAAGTAATAATAGCCTATTCTGGATTTCTTAGCTTTAGGATAATTAATGGATTGTCTGCCAACATAGGGCGTGCTGTCTGACTGTCTCTGACTATCTATCATACTTATCAGCCGTACGTCTGAGTATCTCCCACAGGTAGAAATGACAATAATGAATCTCTCTCTTCTTACCTTAATGGCACAAGAGAGGATTGGAGTTTTTTCTGGTTATTGTTTGTTTCTTTGCTTGGTTTTTTAAAGATTAATGAGACAGCTCTTTAAGTGTTACCGCTTTTCATTGGATACTTGAAAACGCTTTACCATCCCCCCACCCTAAACTAAGAAAGAGAGCTAGGTATGAAGAGGTATGTAGGTATAAAATTATTAGGGTTGTCATGAGCTCAGGACTTATGCTGGACATAAACCATAACAATTTCATTTATATTTTTAAAAGACGATAGGCCTGATCCTGCACTGCTTACTCATGCAAGCCTACTGTTGTGTGCAGGATGAGGGTCCAGATCTTGGATCATAGAAATTTTGAGCATTTACCCATTTCTCGTGAGAGTAGTTCTAGTGTCTGCAACTGCTGGGTATTCAGGGTAGCAATAGTTGAAATACTGGTTGACAGTCCAAAAATGTCAGTGATGGATGTTGAGTATTATGTTCCGTGTTTGTGTGACCTCAGCTATATACCCAATGATATCTGTTTCATATGAAGGATGTATTTTTTACAGTAATCTGGAGGAGTGCACCGTTTGTCTTAGCTTCTATTCCAAGAATAAATTTCAGTGGGAGGGAAATAATAAATTCATGTGAAATTACAGAACAAAAATAAACATTTACAGTAACTACCATATAATGATTATGCACTTTAACAAGATACTTTTGTTGCTTGAAACTGCAAATGCACTAGTACTCATAGATGCTGGAACTAGGGGTACTGCCGCACTACTTGGCTTGAAGTGGTTTCCATCATATATGGGGTTTACAGTTTGGTTCAATGACTCTCAGCACCCCCACTACAAAAATTGTTTCAGCACCGCTGCTACTACTAAAAAATATTAAAAAACTTAAAGTTGAGGGAAAAAAGCAATCTCTGTTATATTTCTTTAGATGGGGAAATCTTCCAACCACAGTTCCCCCAGGATACTCCAGAATTCATGTTGTCATTATCTACATTTATTTAAAATTGTTCTTCACATCTTTAGTTCAGGTTGAAAATAACTGAAATATGTGAATCCAGATATTCTGATTTTTTTTTTAAATGTAATCTTGTATTTCTTAACATTTTGGGCTACTTCTGAAAGGTGATTATTTCGGTAAATAAACTGCATCTCCCCAGCCCCTTGATCTTTCCTTCTTTGCTAGTAAGCTGAAGTAAAACAGTTTTGTTTTTTTTTAAGAGCCTGTGCATCTTCTACAGTGTATTCTGGGACTTCTAAATGCGTCATCAAGTTCTGAGTATTACAGACATTAGCTGGATTAGTGTAATTGATTTCTTCAGTTTACCTAACAGAGCTTTGGTTTGAGGGTCCACTTGCTTCCAGTTTAAATTGTGTGTCTAAACTTTACTCCAATTAATTTGTCAATGAGCTACAACATATTAATAATGTCAAAGCAGATATGAAAGGCCTCACTTGTCAACAGGTGCAAATTAAATAGAGCATTAATGCTTTTGGTTCCCTTTCTTAAAGTATTCGTGAATTAAGTTTCCACTTAGGTCCTAGTATTGGTGTGCAAGATTTAAAAAAAAAAAAAAAAAAAAAAAAAAATTAAAGAAAAGTAACACGCTGAAGTGTGTGTGTGTGTGTGTGTGTGTTTACGCACACATTTAACTATTAAAACATTAATTTGGCAGGCAGAATGCAAAATGCCAGCCTTCTGAGGGTTAATAGACCAGACACGCAATATACGGTTTAAATGTATTTGATAATTGTGTTTTCCTCAGAATAGTTTGCAATAAACCACACATTTACTGTATTTTATGGTTGTGTTACTTTTGTTCTCCAGCGAACAGAGTATTTGCCAAGCCCGGGCTTCAGTTATGGTCTATGATGATACCAGTAAGAAATGGGTGCCAATAAAGCCTGGACAGCAAGGATTCAGCAGAATCAACATATACCACAACACTGCCAGTAACACCTTTAGAGTAGTTGGAGTTAAACTACAAGATCAACAAGTGAGTAACTATGTCTTTTGTGTCCTGTACATTATCCTTTGATCTCTAAAGATGCAATCGGTTATATAATTAATCCTACTCCTACTAAGTGTATATACATTTATGCTCTGCTCCATAAAGCCGTGTCCTGTGTGATTTCTTGATCCAGGACTGTACCTCTATTTATTATAGCTTGTTATTTGTCCTTTAGGTGAGAGAGAAATTTCATTGAACATTAGGCATGGAAGATTTTGTGTGTTTTCAGCTCCATTTTATTATCCCTATTTTCTACTGAAGGCTTTGCTCCTTGCTACTCCCCAATTGCTCTTTACTTCTCCATCCATGGTACAAACTTCTAGTGTTCCTGCCAAATAAGAGATCATTCACTCTCCCTGCGACTCCTGCCTTCTCATGATGAGTAACTAAGTTCTCATTTTGCATTTTAAAAACCTAAGCACATATTCTGATCTCATTTACAATGGCATAAATGGAGCTATGTGGGATTTACACATCAAAACTGAGTGCAGACTCTGCTCCCTAGTCAATGGCTGTCTGTATGATATGGGGGCACTGTCAGCAGCAGTATCAGGTGTGTCAGGTTGAAGTGTGAAAGCATTTGTTCCCAGGAGCTATAAATAGATGTCTCATTCTAAATGTAATATTCACATTCAAGTGAACAAATCACATGATTCTGTAAACTATTAAATCAATGAATTAGTCCCACTTTACATTTTAGAACAAGGGCCTGGGAGTCAGGAGTCCTAGCCCTGTCATTCACTCGTGTGATCTTCTAGGGCATGTCACTTAACTTCTCTGTCTCAGTTTCTGCCTTTTGTAAACTGTAATGATGTTACTACTCTGCTTTGAAAAGCGATCTGTGGATGGAAAGTGCTACATGTGTGCTAATTAGTATTTAAACTTAGACAATCTGATGCACCCACCATCTTCATGTTTTTCAAAGGGAAACCCAAATAATTTTTGGAAAATGTAGTATGTTGGTTTTCAACTATTTACAGTGTACTTTTGAAACTGTTTAAAATATTTGTTCATCTCTATTTGTATCCTTTTCTGGTCAGCAAAGATGTTATAAATATACATAAAACTTGAATCTTTTTCTTGTATTTTGAATAGAGCTGAAATATGTAAAGTTGCTGTGTTTAATTAGTACCAAGATCAGATATCTTTGTTTCTGCTTTGGTATCATTGACGGATGTCAGGATGGTTGTGAAATAGTGCACGTTAATGAACTTCTAGTACCTAGCCCAGTAAAGGAAGCACAAATCTTTGTTTCACATGGGCCCAACATAAATAACAGCTGTTGTTTTTGGTATACAAATTTTTCAGCAATTGGGTGATGGCTTTTTTTTTTTTTTTTTAACTACTTATTTGTAACCCAGAGGGCTTTCTTAATCAGATTATAACAATTTAAATGTAGGGACAAATTTGAGACTTAAATTGTAAGTCTTGGCAGTGGTGTTTTAAATGTGTCAGTTCATTAGCTTTAGCCACTGGATTGGATTGCAAATGTCATTGTTTGCATGAAGTAAATAAGTAGGCACAGGTCCTCACTGAAAACATCTGAATTCAGGAGGAAACATATGTAAGATAAAATCCATATGTCTCTACTGAGTGGAGGTGTTCAGGCATTTGATGATAAAAAATAATTGTGAAGCTACCTGAAACTAGGTTAAAATCTCTTCAGGAAAAAAAAGGTATTAGATAAAATACTAATTTAAAGATGATTACAAAAAATGTATTATAATCCCAAAATCCATTGGACATAGCATAAATGTATAGAGAAGACTGGTACTTAAAAGATCATTTCAAAGTTTTTCAGGTTCAGAATTTAAACTACTTCACTTCAGTCCCAGCTCTAACATCATATCTTCTGTAGTGGTTTATTACTACAACCAAGATTTGCTAAATAGTTGCATTTAACAACAACAACAACAAATGACATCCAGTGCAAATTGTTCTCTGTTCAAACCAATTCATGCACACTCATCCTGACTTCAGTAAAGTCCCATTGAAAAGTGGGGGTTTGTTAAAATTAACTATTTAGCTAGCAAAGCATGTTTTCTGAAAATGGCCAGATCCTCAGCTAGTATAAATTGGCATAAAATAAAATCACCGGAGCTATACCAATTTATACCAACTGAGGATCTGGCCCAAAATCCCTAGCACAGTATTGCCGCACAGGGTCAACTTAAACTTGTATTGCATACTGATTGGCAGGATGAGATAGAGAGAGATTAGTATAATCTACATGACATGACCTTTGTCTGCTTTTAATGTCTTCTGTTTAATTTTCTCCTTACTCTAGATCTCTCTGAATCTTTCGTTTTAATTTGCGTTCTCTGTCTCCTGCTGCGTCTCCTGCTGCATGTAGGTTTTCTCTTTCTTGTCTTTCTCTAGCTGCTTTTTCTTGTGGCCCTTTTCCTGGTTTTTGTTTAATGATATTTATAACTTAGTCCTTATTTTCCTTACCTTTCTATCTCTGTTTGTCCTTTTTTCTAATTAGTCACCACTGAAAAGCTCACCAAAAAGGTTCATTCCCACTAATGTGGTTTTTAAGATGATGTTGAGTGTGATCATATATAAATTTAACAACTGGAAGTGGTCATCAGACCATTTTATAGGTCTCATTCGCACGCTTCACTGTGTCTCTCTCTTCCTCGGCTGCAATGTTTAAGTACTTATTAACGACATAGTGCAAATGAAGTCATCTGTTTCCCCTGCACAGATGCACACATCCGTGTAGACTCATACCAACATGATCAGCAAGCCCAAAAAAGCAGCAGCAGTGCAGGCTGAGGCACTTTTCAAGCTGTGGTCACCAGCGCTTTAATCACTTCCATTTTGTTAGTCATTCGTCTTGAATATTTGTCTGCAGAAGTCAGCTGCTTTTAGTTTAATTCAGAGGTATGATTGAGTGATTTTTAAGTGAGGAATTTAATATCAAGTCATACGGCCTCAAGAGGATCTAGTTATTGGGATGCATGTGGCAGGGCTGTGCTGAAGAAATAGACAGGACAAGTCAAAAGTGAATCACGCTATTCTGGAGGATTTACATAATGTCCCGAGCTAGAAAATTAATATAAAAATGGGACCTTGGAGAAGGTGGTACTTTTCAGAATTGGCCACTGCAAGGTTAGGCCAGAATTGGAGCTTGTACCCTGACAGCATCCTTGTGGTATAAATTTGCCACATTTTTGAAAATGTTGGGTCAAATTCATCCCTGGTGTAGGCGGGGTACCTCTTTTATTGAAGTTTTGGGGGGCTGGGCCTGCTTGCAGCAGGACTAAATTTGGCATGCTCTGTGGAGGTATTGGCCATTCTGAGGTTATTAGGCTATAACCCTCTGAATTTTAGAGTATGTGCAGTTGGTGCTAATCTGGGGAAACGTTGCAAGAGCCACAAGCATCAAGCTGAAAGGAAATGTCCCTGAATTATTATTATGGTAGTGCCCAGATCCCAATCATAGACAGGGCCCCCTGTTCCAGGTATTGTACAGATCCATAACAAAAAGACAGGCCTGCCCCAAGGAGCTTACAATCTAAGCATAATACAAAAGACAACAGATGGATACAACAAACAAAGGGAGAACAAGGTAACAGTAAGACATTCCTGGCCATCATGAAAAGCAATGGTGGCATTTGAAAGATGGCAAATTATAATATGGATATAAAAATATTTTTTCACACAACTCAGAATTAAGCTGTGGAACTCATTGCCACAAGATGTCACTGAGGACAAGAGCTTAGCAGGATTCAAAACAGGATTGGACATTTATGTAGATGATATGATTACCTGGTGTTTCAACAGTAAATATTAAAAGGGATGTGTGATGGGGTGTACGCATCCTGTGCTGCAACAGCTACAATAGGGTTAATGGACAAAGCAGCTACTTCCTCACCTGCAGCTAATTATATAACCAGCAGCAGGTGGAATAAAAAGGCTGCAGCTCAGGCAGAGAGGGTCTGCTGTCAGGGTCTGTGGAGGACGCTGCACCAGCCACAGACTTGAAGACAGGAAGTGGCCCAGGGAATCAGCAGTGAGTCTGAGGAAGCAGAATGTATCAGCTTAGTAGTACAGGGTTCTGGGACTGGAACGCAGAGGAGAGGGAGTGTCTGGGTTCCCATAGAAGGGATATAAATCCCTCCTGGATTTGCCCCCTGTAAGGGGGCAAAGACTACTGAGCTCAGGTTGGGGCTGAAGATCTGACATAAGCTCCTAGGACTGTTTGTTGGACTCTTTATTATCCTGGAAAGGGTGGGGCCCTATAAGCAACTGGATGGGAGGGCAGAGTTGTGAGAAGGGGCAAACTACCTCAGGCCCAGAGTGGCCATTGATAGGGTGTGCCAGAGGCTTCTACACCATGCCTAGCCATGATGGGGGCACACTGGACAATGAGTGACCCTTCTACAGGGGAAAGGGGGTTTTCAGAGGGATCAAAACCATCATGCTTTAAGCCAGAAGTTAAACTCTAACTATTGGGAGTTAGAAAGAAGAACCCTTCCTGGTGGGCAGATTAATCCATCGCTGTTTTCTGCAAGGTTTCTTGCACTTTCCTGTTGCACAGCTGCTGCTGGCCACTGTTGGAGATAAATAGTACTCTAGGTGGTCCACTGGTCTCGTCCAGTGTGGCAAATCCTAGGTTCTGACATATGTAGCTCTAGAGGAAACTTCCCCAAGAAATTGTGTAAAAGCTATGTTCCGAACAGTGGAAAATTTTTATGTATTTATTTATTTTATTTGCTACTTTGAAGCATCCAACTTTCCATTTCACAATTCGCCTTGTGATCTAAGCACCATCTACAGCGGATGCTACTCTGCCTTCATTCTTTCATCAAGCGACAAAGCAGTCCCGTATTTGCTTTATTCTGAAACTACTGACTAAGGAGGCAAAATTAAACTCATGCCACTTCCTTTCCTTTTCCTTTTAAAGGAGGCCACCCTTTGGAGCATGAGGACAGGTTGTATACTTATTCTTCTACACCAGAGGTGGGCAAACTACAGCC